TTGGTTTTTTTTTTTTTCCTTGTTTTTTTTTTTTTTTTTTCTTTTTCTTTTTTCCCTCCTCCACCACAAACGAGGAGTAAAGATTGTGTGCTTTTATGTGCTTGTAGAGTTCAGTTCTCCCCTCCTTTGGGTTGGGTATTTCAGTTCTTTCAAGCTCTCACGGCAGGTAATGGCTCCTTGGCTTCCAGCTGTTCTCCCTGCTCTCCTCTGTGCTGGATCCAATTACGCCACATCTCTTCTCATTTTCCATCACCTCAACACTGTGACATAGCTGACTTGCACTCGGCATTTGATCCTTTCCCTGAAGAACTGCTTGTTAACCCAATACTTGGTCCTTGAGGAGCTGTGTTGCTGCTGCAGCGTAAGACTTTCCACTCACCCAGCAATCGGCTGATGGCTTCTTCCAGACCATTTCCCCAGTTTGCCCAAACAATTTTTAATTCTAATCCAGTCCAACACCGTATCCACTTTTGCTTCATACATAAAAATATCCCCCTCCCCCCCCTTTCTGACAGAAGAATAAAACTTAAGCCTGACCCAGATGAGCAGCACCCTGCGAAGCCCGCAGCGCCCACCCCCACGGCGGGGCGGCGGCACGGCCCGAGGCTGCCCCCTGGCGAGGCGGCGGGACCCAAGGGCGAGCCCGCGCCGCCGCTGGAAGGCCGGCCGTTGCTGGAAGCTCGCCGCCGCCTTCAGCCTCAGAAGCCCCGTGCCTTGGATAACAGGGCCTGAAGCGTCACTGGGTGGCTGCATTCAGCGCTAACCATAGCTTCTCTCTTTAAAGAAAAGCTTCCTGCCTTTGCTAGGTGGAGTAATCAGACCTCTTTCCCCACGTCGGGATGGGACTAAGGGCTGCAGTTGTGCTTTAGGGGAATGCATGAAAGCACCCAATGTCAAAGCTTGGAAACTGAGTGCTTTCTGCAGCAGTCTGTAAGCACCAAAAGGTCCCCATGTCCAAAGGTATGCGTCACTAGTACAGAACACTAACAACTAGACTCATTAACTACGAGCAGGGAACGGAAGCTCTAGCCTATACATTGAGAGGAACCAGTAAGAAATTAGAAAACAGATGAAGTCCTGCCTTGTTCTCACAGGAATACATTCCTCCAAACCATCAAATTCCAGGACTCCCCAAAAAAATGGCTTCTATGGTGTCACCCCCATCTCCCTCAGAAACGCTGCTCTCAGTGCCCTTGAGGTTGGGTCCCAGGCCTTTTCCACCTGGGCATCTCCCACTCTGGCTTCAGGCTCCCTGTGTGCTCTACCCTGTAGCTCCCAGGTAAAGCCAAGTCAGCATTCCCTCCAAAGGGCTGCCTTGATCAGGGGAAGAAAGAAGTACAGAGGGGATGAGCAGTCTCCTCTCGCTGTGTTCGAAAAAAAATTAAAAACGGATGCTTCTAGTAAGCATGCTCCCACAAGACGGCACATTTTGTCATTGACAAGAACAGTGGTTGAAAGCCAAAATTTGTGGAAGGGTAGAGGTCACTCCTATGCAGGGGAGAAGGGCTTTACTAGCCTTTCCGGGGGCAACACAACCATGAAAGCAGAGGAGTGATAAAAACTCAGGCCTTTCTAACAGTTCAGTAGATCAGGGTTGAGCAGCAAAGGTCAGGCTACCATGCACCTTCAATCCCCCTCCTCTTCCTTTTGCCCATTTGCTCTGCCATGAGAGCATTTCACTCATAATCACAAGGTATTAAAAAGGTAAGTCAGTAAAAAGAGCACACATGGCACTGCAGCAGGCATGCAAGAGACAGAACCCAGCGCTGCCTTTGCTCTCCTGATAAATCATCTGCATCAGTGCGATGGATGCTTTTTCCCCACACCCAGGCACTGAGAGATTCTTTGAGCTCACAGATTAATCAAAACAGGCTGATCTCAGCTCGTTTCTTGATCTGCCTTAACTACTCACTCAGCAGGCATCCAAGAGTACCTCATGCCCCCAGCCCCACTCTGTGCCCATCCTGCCAGTAAGCACAGCTGTGGCTTGGCTGCCATTCTGTGCAGCCCGCAAGGAGCCCACCTGCCTGATAGGGATGTGCCTCCCAGCAGCAGCAATTAGCAGATGCCATAGAGGACCTGGACAGGCAGGCTGCACCCCTCCTAATTGACTGAAAGAAGAACAAGACTTGAACTTGCTCCAAAAGGAAGCACAAGCTTCAGCCTCTCTGCATTCATCTACTTGCAGAGCTTGTCCAAACCCGCATGTAGGCAGCAGCTTGCAGACAAGCAATTTAGAGGAAACAGAGTCAGGCCAGCACAAGTCAGTTGGAGATATTGACCCTTCTGGCACTTTGGAGGCACACCTTGAGCTCAGCTTAAACATGTCTTTCTTCCCCTCTCTGGGGGAACTGGCCCTTCTTTTCCCCTTCTCAGCCATTATTTTCTTTAGTATGGCTCATTCCAGCTACAAGTCCACTGTATCCCTCAGCACTGTCTTTTCCAGGCTCTGCAAACCACACCAGGTAGAATTCTGTGGAAAACAAATCAGAACACCTACATCCCCTTCCACACTGGCAATTATTGAGGAGAAACATACTATCAAATATCTCATTTCTGGTTTTAACCAAATAAAGATTTCACCAAATTTTTTCCAGTGTTACACAGGTTGCAGTAGTTCCACTACTTCAGTTTCACTACTACAAAGCAGTAGGTCAATAAAGAAAAAAAAAAAAAAAAAAAAAAAAAAAAAAAGATTCTGTACAAAACAGCTATCCTCTCTCAGGCAGTGAAAGCATCAAGATAGACCAGGAACTTCAGCAACCTAGAAAGACTTTGCTATCAAGGCATAGCTGGCACAATAAATAAATAAATAAATAAAGATCAAATCAGGAGCAATTCCAGAGCAAGCAGATTGAGCAGGCTGCTTTATAGCCATCACTACGATGGTACACGTGTCACAGGAATGAGTTCAGGTGCTTTGTAGTGAGTTAGCAGGAAGGAAGAATTATTTGCAAAAGGTATGGCATTGTGATCACTTAACTGAGAGTTCCACTTCCAAGACTCTCACAAACAGAGGTTTTAGCTTAAAAGTTCCCTATATTCATCACAGAGGACAAAGACTGCTTAGCAATGAATGCAAACAGTGCCACAGAACAATGACAACTGCAGGTGCAAAGGAGGAATACTAGAGGCGCGAAGGTGCTTCAACATTTATTTTCCCTCAAAGAATCATAAAAGGATTAAAACAATTCTAAAAATTGCAATGCTTTATAATGCTTTACATTACATAAATACTAACTGTACTTCCCGCTTAGACTAAGCAGCAGGAAAGTCTTTTACTCAGGCCTTTATGTCAGTAAAGTGCATAAAGCTGTTTAATTTAATTCAGGTACAGAACAGGTGATAGGAAAAATATAAAGCGGAGTCATTCCAGTTTAGTCCAAGACTGGGAAATTCTCCTGAGTGGGATGTTCTGCTGCTGGTTGGAAGCCACATTCAACAGATAATGCTCACACTGAGTACAAATGTCTGCAGTCAGCCAGTTTGCCATGGTCCTTGTGTGACAGCACAGAGGCTGTGCTAGGCCGTGGGGCTCCAAAATAACAGGCACACTGGAGCAGGAGAGCAAAGGAAAAGAAGGCAAGGCAAGTAAACCAACCCAGGTATCTGTTGGAGGATACTGAGTTTTTTCCACCCTTCCTCAAGACCTGATCCAACATTGCTAAATGATTTTAGCTAAGTGGATGGGTTCAATGGCGTAGTCATCTCCACGCTTGGGAAAGTTATTAGGCACCAGAACAACTTCATTCACTGAGACTTCTCTATTGTAATAATAGCCTAATAGTATTTCAACAGAAGGGCTAGCTAACAGATCTGCGATTCATCCAAGGTTATGACTTACAGCATATGCTGTACAATGTTTCTTTGACATCTGGAAGTATGACAGTAACGCAGTCACTCAGAACTCTTCTGCAGCATCTGCATTGTGAGCCAGACCCAGGCACTGTCAGTGCTAACATCTGTAATGAACACTGGCTTGATTTTTGGACACTGAAGTACAAGCATTTGAACCAGAAACTGCTGTGACTATTTTGGCTATATTAGAGAACAATACCAGAGAAAGTAGATACCTGTTCAGCCAATACAACATACACAAATATAGATTTGGAAAGAGGAAAACAGAACATACACTTCCAGTTCTAGATATTGCACTTATTCTCACAATGTATTTTCTACTCAGACCTGTCAAAAAAATCATTTGGCAATAATTCCCCTCCCAGGGACAAAAAAAAATTAAATAGAAAAGGTGTCTGAATGCTTGGAGAAGGACTGAGAAAACCATCTGCTGCATTACTCTTCAGTCAGTTACACCTTGGACCCTTCACATATTTCTGTTCTAGGTATAGATAGGATACTCTTGGATTGCAGGGAAACACCCCCAGCTGCCGTGGATATGGAACACCATGAGAATTTGGGAAATTCTCATACAAATGAGTCTTCCACTAGAAATGTTCTGCATCTGACTGCAGTACTTTTTATGAACTGTAGATCAGTTAGACCAGTCATTCAGTATAATATTCAGTTGACTAGAACGAGACTACATAATGCAGCTGTATGCACAGGTAAACAAACCTGCTGACAAGTATCTGGTAACACATTTTAAGGTAAAAGCATAATACATCTGTCCTAGCTTACCTATAACACTCCCATTGTTCTATTTCACGCAGCAACTCTGAGCTCTTCTGCTCTTGAGTAGCTGGGTCTTCTTCTCTGGAGAGTCTCAAAAGTTTTAAGAAGTGAAGTGGAAGATGTACACACATTCTGAAGGGCATGGACATCTAGAATCACAACACAAATCACCTGAGTTCTCAGGAAAACCTTTCTTCTTAGAAGGAAGATTGCATGGCATTTAGTTGATTTATTACTGCACTTAGAAGATAAACAGTAATGCAGTGAACTCCCTGACCCTCGCATAAATAGAGCACAGAATAATCCCAACAACTTTACATAGGATCAAAGGAAGAGGAACCAGAGCTGTTTCAGCTGATATGCCTTTCTTTCCTAGTTGTTTTTGCATCTTCTATTACTGCCTATTTTCTTAGAAACAAGCTAGAGGGTAGATTTGAGGTACCAGTGGGATGAAGGAAAGCTTCTTATGACTAAATGAAGTGCAGAGAAAACAGAAAAGAAAAAACATGTTTGTTGTAAAGACTAGACTTGCCTTGATGCAGCAGTCACAGCAGACGACACTAAGAAAAAGAAATACCCAGCATTATGTTTGAGAAAAGCTCAGTAAACACAGGTGCTGTATTAAGGATGACTTACCCAGAGTCTCAGTTTGTGACTGCAGCAAAGTCACTTGAAGGCAAAATGAACAAGTCAAGAGTTCTCTGTTCAGCCAGCCCTCCTATGGTATTTATAGTACTTTTAGGTCATCTGAAGCACACCATCATTTGTAGCTTGAAGGCTTCAAATGCAAGTACCATTTTCACTAACAGAGTTACTGAACTACCACTGATTGTTTAGTTATTGCTTGTATTCAGTGCAGCACTTGGCTGCTGTTTCAAATAGACTTAAATGAGCCTGGGAGAACCTGAAATTTCTCTTTTCCTCTCCTATGAAGAGAAAAACTCTGACAAATCAGTGGATAATACTAGGTCCAATTCTTTCCCCAGGCACAAGGTCTGGAGTCCACTTTTCCAGTCCTGAATAGAAAGCTGTGTTGAAAAGGCTCTCCAGAACCTGCTCAAGCCCTTGACTGAAGTAAAATCCAACCTACAGAGCAAAATGAAGACAGTGATTGCTGCGAAGAATTGAGCGTTATGCTTGCACATTAAATTTGGGCATTGCTAGCTATTACTAAGAGTTAATATTGAGATACCACTTCCGAGGTAAGTTTTCCCATGTTCTTCAGCCTAGCTTGTGTAGTAAGGCAAAGCCGAAACGCTAAGGAACCCATTCCAATCCAAGGACTGCTACCATATGAATTCTGAGTATTTTCACTGCTATTCTTTTACTCAACTCTCCATCCTCATTCAGTCCTTTCGTACCCACTCACCTGCTGCAGAGGTAACAGCTGTAAGGCCACTTAAGAAACATCTGCTTACGGCAGCTGAAACAGATCTGTGGAATGGAAAATGTTGTGAATGCCAACAGGAAATATCTTTCAACCAACAGTATCCACTGCCTGCCAAAGAGCGAGCATACAAGCTAACCTTCTCAAGGCTTCAGATCCACACAGAATAGCTGATCCATTGAAGGATAGCAGAGACAGGAATTAAAAGCTAAAAAGGCAATAGAGGCCTTATTTGTAAGTCTGTGTTTTTGTGATGCAGAGGTTTGGAGCAGCTGCCAGACAACAGGAGTTCAAAAAGAGGCTCTTGAACAAACAATAGCTGTATTGTGCAATAGTGTAACAGTAGCTAGTTAAGAGAGGGAAGAAGAGAGACATTCTTTGAGGTAGACTGCAACAATCCCAAAGAGATTAAGTCAGGGCAACTTTGAATCCAATCCTGAAGCAATAAGTGAGTCATAAGGAAGCTGATGAGTCTCTTGAACTTTATAAAAAGAACATTCATACACAGCTGGCAGTCAGAAGTGATATTATCTTGAGGAGCAGAGCTTGAGAAAGCTATAAAAAAAAAAAAAAAAAAAAAAAAAAAACTTCAACAGTGAGAACACAAAGGGGATAAGAGAGCCATTTTAGAATAAGCAGAGAGAAAGCAAATTAAAGCAACACTGGTTAAGAAAGGTGAGAAGAAAACAGGGATTCTTGTGACAGGAGTGGAGTTATCATAGCTGCGCTAGTAGAACTCTTTGGCTCTGTGCATACTGCTACTTAAGTGAGTACAAGAAGCTGACCCCAAAGCCTAGCAGCATGAAATTCCTCACATCTGGGTTCCAACGGGCTTTCTCTGAAGACTTCTGCTCTTGAGGGGCTGGTGGAAGTAGGCCCTCTAGAACAGGCTGTGAATAAGTAAGCAGAGTGGGCAGGCAACAGTCCTGTGCTGTAGCATTCTCTACCTCCCTCATCTCTCTAGCCTTTATATTCATCCCTCAGCAGGATGGCTTAGGTCAGCACAACTCAAGTGTTAAGAGTCTGAATTAAAAGCCTTTGAAATTCGGTACACAGAGAAGCAATCTGTATCTCTGTGAATTCAGAGCTGGACAACAAGAACGGCAATCAGCTAAACTAGCATAGAAATAACAGATGAAATACTAAGCGAAGGCTAGGCTGCTACTTAGGGAATTTACACAGCCTAAGATTGATTAGAAGCCATCACAGCACAAGTATTAAAAGATCCTATACAGCCTAGGGACAAACTCAGATCAGCAGCATGAACAGGAAGAACTGAGGCAGAGTACCTCAGCAGTTCAAGACTAAGAGATGAAACCAGGCAGCTTCTATCAAGGCAAGGACAGTACTCTACAAGGAGAAGGAAACATACCTTTGCTCTTGGAAAGACACCATCACTACTTCCTTGGGAAAAGCCTCCCCTTTTCAGCACTATCATTGCATATCTGGTTCCAATCAGTTCAGCAATGGTAGGTGATGGCCTTGTAGTAGGAAAGTAAGAGTCCTGTCCAAAAACAGAAGTTAAGCATCAGAAAGAGCTAAACACACACACACACACACACACACACACACACACACACACACACACACATACACACATACACACACACTGTAAAAGCTATTCTCAAACCTCAGTCCCAAGAGGCTCAGCAACATTTCTATCCAGAACTCACTTCTGCTGATGGACTGTATGTGTCGCTAGTAGAGCACGCTTCAGGGAATACTGCTTTAGCTTTTGAGATTTTAGTAAAAAACTCAAGTAGTTTCCTGAACCTGCACTAGGGAAGCATGTCCTTTGCCCCCCCTTCAAAGCATTTAATCCCATCACCAGAAAACTCTCCTACCCTTGGATACAGACATAGCACAGATGGTACCTTTTCCTCTCCTCACCTAAGGTACAGGTTCTCTCCACAACACAACGCTCTTGTCTTATCTTTCACCAAAGACCCACTGATCCCACACAAATAGCAGCTATTTTTTCTTTCCTTTTCAACAAGATCACCAGTTTTTGTCTAGGTGGGGAGCCTTGCCCACCTGCATCCCCCACTGTGCCGCTGAACAAAGAGGTCAGGGTTATGATAAGATTAGAATTTTATCTGTGGTGGGAGAAAGAGCAATGCAGCTCCCTCCAAGGACACTACAAGTTTTATATTGCCTCCAAGTGAAAAATAATATCCCAATGTAAGCTGAGCATACAATATGGCTTAAATAAAACCAACATAACATGTTCAATACATGTACACAAGGTTCAAGGTGCACACTGGAATCATCATCAGATATATTAGAACAGCTTGGCAGCTGATATGCCAGACTTACAAATTTCTTGCTTTGAAGGCCAGTGTCTAAAGATTTGGACCTTCTTCTGTAAGGATGCAGCTGCTGCTGGCCAACATTCAGGACACTGTTATGCTGAAGGTCTCCTAGCAGGGGTGTGCTCACGGGAGGAAGTGTATGATCTGCAGCAAGACCTGGGTAGAAAGTTTCAGACTGCTGCAAAAAACTGGGCTGGCAGCCTCTAAATGTTCCCCCAAAAGTTGAATAGTTAAGAGCATGACACTGCCTTCTGAAGACAGCTAGGCCTGCATCTCTCCTTCTCAAACTCCATTAATTCAGATCATAAAAAGCAGAGATTACTGTAATTATGCTTGTCAGTAGGAAGTGATGAGCCTTCATTAGCACCATTTAGTTTAATATAATCAAGCGCTCTACTTCAACATTCAAAAGGCTCATTAAGTTTTTAACTGTGAATTCAATTATGCCTTTTGGGATACACTATCATTGTTTTGAAGCTGCAGGAGATGTACAAGCATCAGTCAACTGCAGAGGAATGGTTTTCTAAGGACACCTCCCCAGACTCATGATTTAGTGTTGGAGCTTCTTCTGTCAAGTACCTTCAAGTGATCAGAGAGCTGCAGCACAGTAAGCCCTAAGTTTATGGCAGCACAGTAGGCCACTGACTACTTTGTCACCACCTGGTTTACACACATAGCAAAAACAGCACTGACCTGTGCTGCTGTAGGACACTACTGATGACCTGGCTGAGGCATGCTGGGTGCTGGAAGACAGCTTTGGAGTCATTTCCTGTAGACCAGAGAACAAGGTACTCTTAAGCTTGCTCAGACTATTACTAAACAAAACCCAGGATTCAGAATCGACCAGAAACAGTACAAGGCTTATTCAGAAGTAGGAGAAAGAAAGAAAACAATGTAGAATATTTAGAAACTTAGTGTTTCAAGAATCAATTGCAAGTAAATTTTCCCTAAACAGGAAGCTCCAGTCAAGCCAGTTAAGTTTCAGATTCATCTGTTATCACCTCAATCAAGCTCAGTGCTGATTTTAGTCCCAAATTTTCAATGGGTCAGCAACCAACTTCACTAGATTCTTTACAGCTTTCAGAATGCTTTGCCATTTTTCTTAGTTCTGGCTCACATGTACCAACTGGAAAACAGTTAAGTGTACTAATAACTTAGCTCAAACCCAATGCTGTATGTAGAGAGCATAGTTTCTAGCTTCTCTAGAAAAGCAGAATAAAGTTACAGCCTCTACAGAGGTCTTTCTAGTTCACAATAATACACCAATAGTTCTCAAGCTGTGAATATTCCTACAAGTAGCACATTCTTGTGCAAATATAGCTAAGATTTTCTGCTTTTATTAATTCATATCCATTTTCCTCAGTTAAGCAAATGCATTTCAGACAAATGCTTACAGAAAACAGATTCCTGTTTGTTTGCCAGAGCATCTGTGCTGGGCATAACGTGTTAGGGTTTCAGTTCTGTTCCATACAGTTTCTAACTGTGCTCAGACTGAATCCCAGAACCACACAGTCAAGATCAGGCTATGAAATTAAAGAACCCAAAGCCCGCATAGCCCAGTTTACTTAAAAATGGTGCTCCTTCAGTTGCTTCCCAGGCAGAAGAGTGGGAATTCACCAGTAAAGTTGCTTCCTGTAACTAAATCATGTGAAATGCAAACACATCTAGCATCAGTTGCCTCACTGGAAGGTAAAAGTAGGAGTTTGGCTAATATGCGCCAAAATTTCTCCTATATTTCTCAAGATTTTGAGAATACCTAGTTTTAGTGACAACAGCAGACCTTAGAGTTATAAGCCACACTCGTGTCATAAAAAGAAGCGTTTAAACATCACATGAGTTTCTGTAGAGTCAAATACTCCAGTGAACAAAACAGTATCATGTTTGTTCACTTTTGAAGAACAAGACTGCTCACGCTGAGATTTGAACTTGATGTTCTAAGGTACATATCTGTACAGATACAATGCTTAGAATAGACTGTTTATACTTATTCAGCCCTTTCATTTAAAGCCTTACCTGAATTCCTGATCTCGGATGCTGTGCTCTTGTGTTCACGATCTGAAGTGCTGCACTGGCATCTAGGGATGTTAAAAAAATATTATTCAGAGATTTCAAGGCAACATTTGGAATTACAGACATTTCTGGGTGGTGTGAGGGAAGTGAAAGAAAGAATACACATGCAACAGTAAGATATCATGTTGTGGCAAGAAAGTAACACACCTTATACCCACATATCAGAGTTTGATATTTACCCTGTTATTTAATATTTCAGTTTTAGGAAATTATTGAAATCCTGCTTTCCAAGTCAGTTGACAAATTCAACTCTCTATTTATAAAAATCACAGTTTGAAACATCTTCAAGATGTAATAAACCGCAAAGAGTTTTCTAGAAATATTCTTATCATTTACAAACCAAGTTTGCATTCCCTCCTCCCTTACATTATATGTTATGCAATATTTTTATCAAGCATACAACTGAAGTCTAATGACTTCAGTTGTATGCTTGATAAGGTCACTCTGTAGCAGATACCTTTAGGCCTGCTCCCACTTTCCCTTGCTGATGACGATCGAAGCTTCTGTGGTTGCTTAATTTCTGCCATGAGCTGTTTGTGTAAGGTAGGCTCTGATGGCACACACTCTTTCAGCTTCCGCTCCAGCACCTGCAGGCAGAGCATAGCACTGCAAAGAGCCAGTAGCTAAAGTGGGGAGACAGTGGTGACAGAACTGGAGCTTCAGCAAGGGTACTGCTGTACAAGCGCCTCTCACTCAAGAGGGCACTGAGCCCTCTACATCATGCCTTCCATACCTCATTTCTTGTCTTTTGAGGCACTTGAGAGAAGCTTCAGATAATGTGTTTGTTAAAGAACATTTCAGCAACTTTCAGATTTGAAACAAGGCTAGATCAAGTAGTATAGGAGTACTTTCAGGACCACAAAGTGCTCCAGCTAGAAGTAGCAGCAGTGGAAATAGACTGATAATTTTTCTCTGAAGATTTGCCACCTCCCATTTTCCTAATCCCATGTGTTGGCAGCGAGTTCTGCCCAACAGTTAATTACAATTTAGCCCTCTCCTAAATCCAAACCAGTAGTTAAAACATTAAATTTGTATTCCCAGAAATCATCCTATCAACTCTGAAATTATCTTGCTTTGCTATCATTAGATACAGCACCAAGTCACCTACAGGTTTTAGATGAGGCTTGGGAGTGGCTACAGCATTGCTGGGGGTTTTGCATTTTTGCTCGATGTTCACCTGAAAAAGCAGAAATGGTGCTTGAGCAATAAGTTTCTCCACAGTTTGCACACCTTCTCATTCAGAGGCACAATGAACAACTCAAAATATTGAGAATAAGGAATGCGGAGAAGAAATTAAAAAAAAAAAAAAAAAAAAAAAAGAGTAGGAAAATGTAGAGTGATTAAGTTTGCTTAGAGGTTTTTTGTAGAAACAGCTTTGCCTATGGCAAGAGATGATCAGAAGCCCTGCACGGCCCTTTGGAGCATGCATAGGAAGCAGACAGCTCAAAATGCTCTAAGAAGCTACTGAAAAAAATGTTGTAGTCATATTTTAAGGTCAGGACTTGATCACAATACTTTCATTAGTGATAACTCAGCTCCAAGGAGGAGAGTTACTGAATAGGTTAACACAGAACATAGAAGACCATAACAAGAACTGTAGCAGCAGGCAGCTGTATGCATAAGCTAGAGTCCCAGAGACTGGTTTACAGCCCCACATAAACTAGGAACAATAGCAAGATAGAACTGCAGTGCAGGCATTCTTGTGAGGCAGATTTTTTCTCTCATCAAGGCCTGTGTTTGATGTAGAGAGGACAAATATATATATACACACATGTACAACTTGACTTATCTGCCTTGTCCACTTATTCTTACTTTGAGACTATGCCATTTTCTTTCCCTGTGCATACAACTGCAGAATACATGAGAGTGCAGTAAAATACCACTAGCTGTCCTTTAATTTGAAAATTAGACCACTGTTTGCTACAGGAGCTTTAAAGTAGCTTTGCACATGGGGAAATCCTTGTTTAAGAGACTTCTCAAACAAAGTCTGAAACAGTAAGTACTCCTTTCCTTCTCCCAGTATTTTTGACAAATGCGCTTCAAATTGAAGCTTGTGCTTCTTGTCAACCACAGGGAATAAAAAAAAAGAAAAAAAGAAATCAAGAGCCAGTTCATCCTGCCACCTTCAGTTACGTTTCTGTACTACATAGTGCTTTACAATACATAGCAGTATCAATGAAATGAGTAGTTGTATTTTCTCCTTTCCATTACTACTCACGTATTTCTGAACAAATTAGTCTCCAGATAAGTGTTAAAGCCTTATCTGAAGGCTGGCGCCACAATCAAAAGTGAGAGTTAGAGTTTTATGAGTGTTGAGCTGAAGATTTGAATCCCCCGCCTCTAGGAGTGCCAGCAAGGAGGGAAAAAAATGTTGATGTCTAGCACGCTAAGCAAACTTTTCACTTTAAAATATTGGTCTTTATTATAACTGGAGTTGTGTCTTATGTTCTGCCAAGATGTCTGTTTGCAAAACACACCAATGCCACAAAGCCTTATGCCAGTGTTTTAGATCTGCTCATCATTCCCAGCTCAAGCTGCAGCAAGTAAACAGCATCACAAACCTTCGGAGGCACTCAGTCATTTTTATATCTGCGCATCTTCACCAACATCAACATTGCTAGAAGCCTTTACCATTTGAGTCAGCACCACAGCTGCCCTGGAAGCAGTTGAACTTTTTTTTTCATCCTGCCTAAGCTCCTGCAGTAGCTCGCATACACTCCTACAGGCCTCTGCCTTAGGCTGAGCAGAGCACTAACTCCACAGTGATTTTACATTTTCATACATCTCACAGCAGCTAAGGCAAGAAATCCAGTAAGAGATGCCAAGCACGGCACAACTCAAGCAGCCTGTAAAGACAAGTGTCTTGAGTACAAAAGCATGAGCAGGCAAGAGTTTCTTTAATGGAGTTGTTTTGTGCAAGGCAGCTTAATTGCACTGGAGAAGGAAGTGACTGACACCTGGAGGGGAAACAAGCTTGCTATCCAGCTTCATAAAAGTTTGTCTGCCCCAGATTAGAAAGGTACTGGAAATGAAGCGTTTGGTTGGATAAACATAACAATCAGATATTGAGCTGTAGCTGAGAGGGAGCTCTTAATACTTTTGGATCGGATGTACCTTTGAGAAAGACCTGAAGAGTGCCTTTCAGTCAGAACAAATACTGTTTGGAAACCAGTTGGTTTCAAAATTGTCCCCTGACTGTAGTCACTCACCTTCCGAAGTTTGTACCTCTTGTGCCGAATATCATCTAGAAGTAATTCATAAGGGGAGTAGGTACATTCTTTCAGAGGGACAGGACGCTGTGGTCGCTCAGTGGCCTTCTGCAGCTTTACACCATTCTGCAGTTCATGGATGACACTGGGCCACAGGGATGCCTAGGAGAATCCAGTGAGAAACAAGTCAACATCTAGCTAGAACTCATGGCAGAGCACTCTCTCCCTCTCTGTTAATGGGACAAACTGAGCAACTGAAGTCTTGCAGAAACAAAGTGTGTTCTCAACAGTCCCCTTTAACCCACTTGAAGATTAGGGCATAGTACCAGGTTTATCCCTGATTTTTGTCATCAACTTTATGAATGTACTTCATCAAAACACACTTTTTGTTGCCAGGTATTTAAGACTAATCTTCTTGAAGTACTTCCTGCAAGCATTCCATGTACCAGAAGAGTTTTTGTTTTGGTTTCCCCCCTCTTCTTTCCTGTCTTCATATTATTGCACTCTAGGAAACACTGAGAATGAAATCCCAAGCCTTATGATTAAAATCCTCTGAACTTTTGGAAACCAAGAGTCGAAGAGCCCACAAACTCGAAGAACACAAAGAGAAAGCAATCTCTAACAGCAACTTATGTTAGTGGTTACAGCCTGGAGACATAAGCTGATAACTCCTATCTTCCCATCCAGTTCCTGTATTAATACCTGTTTCCACAGGATTCTCAGGCACGTAGGATAGCACAACAAAAGTTAAAGGCAGGAAAAAAAACACACAACATAATCCACTCAATAGCCTGTTTAGACAACATTGTAACGGAAGAGCAAAGTCAACAGCTTATTTAGTTCCCAAAGGCAAACTGAATATGAAAGTGATTGTATTATAAACAGTAAAGAAGGAAGCAACATGTTTTAGAAAACTGCCTCAGAACAGAACTTCTGATTTAAATTCATATCCATCTTCCTTTTACAGGATGAAGTGCGTTCTCTCAAATTATGCCTTCAGATATCTTGGTATAATAGCAGAAAAATTTTACGTATACTCTGACTGGTAGGCTGCCTTTGAGGAGAAAGACATTTAATTGGATTGCTTTAGGTGGGTTCTGCAACAGTGGTATCTCACTTCAAACAAAAAAAAATAAAGAGCAGTCAGATGTTAGCCATATACTAGCCGTATCTCCTTGACTAACATAATTTATTGTGTAGCAGAACACACACACCACACAAATCTCTTAAAGTCCTACCAAAGAAAGAGCTAAGCAAATAGATTGGTGTTTGTCTCCTATTCAACACTAAACACTTTCCATTCTCTTCAACATCGTAAGTGGTAAGATAGCTGTTCCCAAGAGATCTTGGTGCTTAAATTTCAAGCAGAAGATTGTCTTGTGACACATATGAATCAGCTCTGCTCAGACAAAACAACCCTGCATGATATCAGGTTGCAGTATGTGTTTCAGAAAGCCCATTTCATAGCAGTCAAGATGGAAAAGTGTGGTCCACAGACAGCATTAACTGCTTGGCACTACTTAAGGCCTCAGCTCCAATCTGGAATCCCAGAAGTCGGCACCCTGGTTATTTTAAACTCAAGAGTTTGTCAGAGTGATGCAGTGAACTGGTGCTGAGGGACTTGGAAACTAGAGGCAAAGGATTTGCAACAGACATCCTGCTTTTGGAATCCATGTCTCCTGAAGGAGCAGAGGCCAAAAACACTGGCCTCCAGGCCACACGTCAAAGCCCATGTATTTATTCATGTATTCCCTGCAGAAAAGTGCTACAGCAGTTGATGAGTTTGTGGTTTAAGATAGCTTGCCAGCTTATTTTAATAGATCACAAATTTGAGAATATGCCCAAACACACATTTCACAAACATTTTCATACGAATAGTTTGAGCACGCTTCAAAGCAAGTGCTATTTAGACAAAAAGAGCAAGTCCACAAGTCTCTAGGGGCTTGCCATTTGTCTCCACAGACTCCAGACTACAGAGCATTTGTTTATGCTGGGCAGAGCTCCAGCCAGAAGAGCTATTTGTTTCTGACTGAGCCCTGACTATGTAGGGCCTTGGAAAAGAGTAGAATAAGTTGCTATCTCCGCCCCAAACACATTCCAAGATCTACAGAAGGACAGAACAGAAGGACAAGTAACACAGAAAACAGAAGGTAGGAGCTACATCTCCAGCCTCACCCTACTTCATGCCTTTGTCGAGCTGCTGGAGCTCACAACCATAAGGAGGGATGGAGTTACTTTCCTCCCCTCCAGCCCTGAACTAACAGCAGACTCCACGTGATTAAAGTGATGCAGTCCATCTTACTCTGACCACCAACAGGAAGTCTTCTGGGAGTTGTTAATCCAACTACAGAAAGAAACAGATTCCTTTTGACAGGTATCAAATCCTGCCAAGAGATGGAGTGTGGGACTCATTTCAGTAAGAAACAGCATGAGTAACTACTTGTGGACACTTATTCCAAAGAGTGCCTCCAATTTCACTTCTAGAAGTGGTTTAAGTTGAACCACAAAGAGGCTCTTTGTGCAGAAAAAGCATCCACATGAGGTAAACACATGAAATAGCTTAAGTTCAAGTTCACATCCCAGCTTGTTTTGCAGACAAGTCTTTAACTACTTAAGTTCTTGAACAATGTAACAAGTGTAATTGATGTTCAAGCTCTATTTTTGTTTGTTTGTTTAAACAAAGAAGTCACTAGGAAGCCTCAGAGAGCAAGGGTAGACAAACAAGCCCAACCTCCTCTAATGAAGGAATGGAATCCCTTACCCACTGTTTTTCCTTCTTCTGCACGTGGGTTTCCAGCAAATCTTCCTCATCCATTTTTTTTAGACTCTAAGAAGTGAGCACAAGAGGTTGTCACATTGAGCTGTCCAGTGCTTTCCCATTTATCCAGTATAAATTATTAATGGTGACTTGAAAAGCTTAGAGGCCCCAACACCCAAACATTCACAATTTACAATAAATAGTGTGGTGCAGAGAAGTGTTCCATATCATGAAAACAGACCATCAGCTAGGTACTCCATTCCTAGTGCAATGGAAAAATTATAACTAGATCCATTTATGGAGGTAGAAGGCATAGTAGATAAGGGGTGATGCCAAATATACCTCTTTGGAGGTCTGGATGATGGACACAAGCTTCTGAAGTTCAATAAATTCAGTAAAAAGACTCTTACAGGTCATTCTGTAATGACTGGTAGCCTCAGAAGGCATGGACAGGTGATGCTCACAGGCCTGAAAGAAGTGGAACTGTTTAAAAGAAATCTTGAAATAAAAACACTTGAAGGTTGAAGAAAGCAAAATCCTTATTTTTGCTCAATCTGTGGTTAAAAATCATTTTCCTCATTGTTCCTTTGTATCTTTTTGTTTATTTTACTGTAGATGCAGAGGAGCAAAGAAGTAAAATGCCAAATCTTATATTTACAATAACTTCAGTACTTGTGTGATTTATATATCCTGATCTCCACAAGCTGTGCTTTGAAATAAGTACCTGGAAGGGAAAGCTTCCAAACCACAACAAAACACAGCAGGTGGAGTCACTTGTCATCTCATTTTCCCCCTTGGCACCCTACCCTGCTTACACCAGGGCTCCAACGATTTCTTGTTTTCTTAAATTACGGCTGAGAGGAGGCTATTAGTTTGAGCTGTGGCATTCAAATCCTCTTGCAGCAACCAAATATTATGGACAAGTGACTTGTTTCAAGATCTGTAGTCTTCTAGGTACTGAACACTACCGTTGGAGACTACATATTGAAGAAACTTGTAGACAGAGCTGTGAGAGCCATGTTCAGACTTCCTCCTTCGTTTCTTTTCCATAGACATTTGAGTGCACCTTAAAGGTTTTAAACCTTCCAGGTCTGACAGAAAAGCTACACCCTCCCCCCATCCAACAAACTGCCCAGCTACTCCCCAGAAACAGCCTGTCAGCATGATTAGCCATCAGCTCCTCTAAAGCAGCTGTGTTTACTGAGCAAGAAGAAGAAAACCTTGATAACATCCTGCAGGGTGACTATTGGCTTCATTCCCTCATCATCCAGTTTCAACATGAGGCAGAGCAGTTTATCCAGCGGATCACTCAGTTCTCGCTCAACTTGGCTGTCAATTCCCCAGTCCAGAGCTTCATAGATCACCACTCCCAGGTACTCCAGCAGCTGCAGACAGAAGCCAAGGAAGCAGTACAACTCCACAGCCTTCACTTCCCTATTGCTGCTGCCCCACGGGGCTGAGTACACCTCTCAGGGTGAAAAGAGCTCAAAAAGCAACTGACTGCTCTTCCAGTAGCCTGGGACACTCCCCAGTGAGCTATGTTAAGCTTTTAAAAAGCCTTGTCTAGAACCTCTAAATGATGACACCAGGACAAAAAGCCTATACGCTATTCCACAGTAGCAGCACTAGTGCACGCTATTTGTTTCCCAGTCCCAAAGTCTTACTGGAGCTCACTCCTAACATTTTATTTCATCTTTCAGATTACAGGGACAGTCACACCCACAGTACCCAGTGAATGAAAATACCTTCACAGTTTTAGGCAGCTAGATGCCTGCATCTCCCATGCTGGCTTTCTACATGGCAGGATTATATCTGCATGTATACAAAAGCAAAGACACAGGCTTACCTTGTCCTCTGACTGCTGAATGCTGCCAGCATCTGAAAGGGAAACAAGAGGAGGTAGGGCAGGATGATCACTGCACAGGCATTGATCAACAGTTTTTAGATAAACAGGCTTATTTTTCAAGAACCCTGCCAAGCAGTGCAAGATACCCTTTATTTACTGTGACCATTAGCCCCAATTTAAGTACCACTGGTTAGTTTCTTTCCTTTGTTAGTATATATCTAATTACAAGGAAGACAATGGATGTTTGTCTTCATTCTTTACTACTCGCTCTTGTTCCTGCAGAGTCTAGCAATGAACTCCACAGTCAGAAAAATTTTATCAGAAAAATTAGCAGGCATATCTGCATTACATCTTATGTATAAACCTTTAGAATAAAGTACAGACAGAAGAGCAGCCTATATAGTGAGAACAACCTGAGCATACAGAGAAGGGGAAAAATAAAAAGTTTTCATCTGCTTTGTCCCTAAATTTCAACCAATTACAGAAAACAACCCCTGGCATCCACAGCTACTTATGCTCTTACCAGACTTATGATACACCCGGAAGGAAACAGTGCCATCAGCATGAATAAAGATGCTCCCAGGACCTTTTATGAATACAGAATGGAGTGATGGGTACAGCCCTTGGACTAATTCTTTCATTCTGCAGCAGCACTGAAAGCAAATAGCCCAGGCTTGCTCTTCGCTTATAGGGTGCTCAAAGCACCTCAAAATCTCAGCTAGAGAGACCTTTGCAGCCCTCTGCTCACAGCATGGAGACTCCATGTTCATTTTTACAACTCTTTACTAGACTAGGAAGCTTAACAGCCTTGTTCCCAGGACAAGAGAATGCTCAGGCAGCAGCCTTTTATCAGTTCTGACTCAAGGTTTGTTCCCTCACACACTCTGCCACACACAGGTGTGAACACTAATGCCAATTTTACTCTAGCTTTTTAAAGGGACACCACTTAATTTTGCATTTGCACAAACCTCTTTGAAGGAAAAAACAGGAAGCATTTAACAAATTGGATTCTAAAATAATGAGATGGGTCAAAATTTGTACTCAGTTTAATGTAGTTGTCTACAGCAAATACATTAATGGCAATGCTAGAAGGTGAGTGAACATTTATCTTTGACTCAAGCGTGAGGAAATAGCGATAGGACAAGGGGGAATGGTTTTAAACTGAGACAGGGAAGGTTTAGCTTAGATATTAGGAGGAAGTTTTTCACACAGAGGTGGTGACACACTGAACAGGTTGCCCAAGGAAGCTGTGGATGCCCCATCCCTGGAGGCATTCAAGGCCAGGCTGGATGTGGCTCTGGGCAGCCTGGTCTGCTGGTTGGCGACCCTGCACATAGCAGGGGGTTGAAACCAGATGATCATTGTGGTCCTTTTCAACCCAGGCCATTCTATGGTGCTATGAGATGTCTTGAAGTGCAGCCTCATCAATGTTGCATACAGAAAGGCCATCACCTCCCTGCTGCTGCTGGCTGCACATCTCTTGATGCAAGCCAAGAGTGCAGCTGGCCTTGGCCATCTGGGCACACTGCTGGCTGACGTTCAGCCGGTTGTCAGCTAACACCTCCAAACCCTTTTCTGCAGCACAGCGTTCCAACCGCTCTGCCCCAAGCCTTCAGCCTTTAGCTTGGCACTGCGAAGGGGACCATGGACTTGGGCTGGGATCACGCACCCGAGCGCACACTCAGTCCCTCTTCCCCGCCCCAAATGCCGACTGCTGCTCACGTGAAGCACATCGCCGTGTTTTGCGTTGTGGGATCTGGGCATTGCGTGATGGCAGAGGACAGCCAACAGGACTTGTGTCACCGCCCGACGGGCTGCCGCCGCAGCGCATCGCAAGGGCCGTCAGCTGCTGCACCCTCCCTTCCGAGCAGCCCAAACGGTAACGCTCCACGCGCGCTGGGAACGCCGGGGATGACTGAGTGCAGACCGCACCCCCGCCCGCATGTCCCGCCCCGCGCAGCGCCGCCCCGCACAGGGAAAGATGGCGGCGCCCGAGGCGGCGTGGAACCGCGTGGACGTGCCGTGGCCCGCTAGCAGCAGCGCGGTGGCCGTGACCGCCCAGCACCCCGCAGGTCCCCGGCTCGGTTGCCGGACCGCGCGGCCGGGATAGAGTGGGGAGGGGCGGAGGCACCGGAGCCAGAGAGGCCGCAGGGAGGGCCGGGAGGGGGAAGGCGACCCTGGGCGTGCGGAGTCTGGGGGAGCGCGCGTGGGGAACGGCGGTGCGCGCGGCCGTTGCTGAGTGCCTCCCGTTCGCAGTGAGCTGCCTGCCGGCCCTGCGGCGGCGCTGCGTTGGCGCCCTGAAGCGGCTGTCCGGGCCGGGCCTGGCCGCCGAGGGACGCGTCTTGCGGGCCCTGCTCTACGTCTTCCACAGCAGGCTGCTGCGGCACCGGCCTTACCTGGCTATGCAGCAGGTGAGCGGCGGGCAACCTGCCTTGAACACCTCCAGGGACGGGGCATCCACCTCTCTGGGCAGCCTGTTCCAGCACCTCACCACTCTCACAGTAAAGAACTTCCCCCTGACATCCAACCTAAATCTTCCCTCCCTCAACTGAAAACCATTTCCCTTTGTCCTGCAGTTATCTACCCTTTCAAAGAGTTGATTCCCCTCCTGTTTGTAGGCTCCCTTTAGGTACTGAAAGGCTGCAATGAGGTCACCCCACAGCCTTCTTTTGTCCAGGTCCTGCTCCCTCAGCCTGTCCTCACAGGGGAGGTGCTCCATCTTTGGATCATCTTTGTGGCTCTCCTCTGGACCTCTCCAACAGCTCTCTGTCTTTCTTGTACTGGGGGCTCCAGACCTGGACACAGTACTCCAGATGGGGCCTCACAAGAGCAGAGTAGAGAGGGACAATCACCTCCCTGTTCCTGCTGGCCACCCCTCTTCTGATGGAGCCCAGGATATCATTTGCTTTCCGAGCTGCAAGAGCATAATGCTGGCTCATGTTAAGCTTTTTATCCATCAGAACCCCCAGGTCCTTCTCTGCAGGGCTGCTCTCAAGGTCTGCTCGTTGATACCTAGGATTCGTTTGGCCCAAGTGCAAAACCACAGATGGTTTGTGCACACCATGCACTGGTCCCGGAATGGGCCTGGGACATCGTGCAAAGCAGTGCTCTATTTCAGCTGGTGTGTCTTGGAGCCTCGTGCTATTTGATTCAGTTGGGAGCGGGGAGGTTTGTGTGTGGAAGAACAACTGCAGGCTGTTCTGTCAGGCACTGCCTCTCCTAAGGCAGAAGCTTAACTCTTCAGCAGTTCTGTAGTAAAGGGATTGCCATAGTCTTCAAATAACTATGCTGAAATAAAACAGCAGTCATTCTTACCTTCTTGATTCATTTGTTCTTTATTGTTTTTGAAAGACTGGTTACATCCCAAACACATTCCATTGTTAATATTTCAGAAACCTCTGTACTTTATCCCCATCATGCTGCATTATCACAGAGACACAGAATATCATGGGTTGTAAGGGACCCATAAGGATCATTGAGTGCAACTCCTGGCTCCATGCAGGACCACCCAAAAATCAGACCGTCTGCCTCAGAGCATTGTCTAAATGCTTCTTGAACTCCATTTATATGCTGCAGGAGAAACCATGCAGTGCCAATGAACAGTGACCTGCTCCTGCTCTTAATTCCCTGTTCACAGTAAGGTGATAAAGGGGTCTCTTCTGCACAGTGCAGATATGGGAACATGACTGCATCACACAAACCTGCAATTTGCTATTAAACTGATGAGGGGAAGGTGTCACTTAAAATACTGACTGCTCTTAGACAAGGGCATTTGTGTCTCTCAGAACACCAGCTGAAGGACTTTCCTTTTTTTTTCTTCTTTTTTTTCCCCTTTTTTTTTCGTAGGTAGAACAATGCTTGAAGCGCCTGTGGAAAATGAACTTGGTGGGCTGCATTGAAACCCTGGCAGAACTGATTCCCAGGTAGGTATTGCATACGTGACCCTGTATGCAATACTACCCATTGATCAGCCTAGGGAACTGAAGGCCTCCTTCAGTTGCTATGCTAGATTCAGTTGCAGATGCTAGATCGCAGATGTCTCCTTGCCCTTGTCTTGTCACAGGAAAAATAAAGCCGAGGCCCAAGCGGAGTGCTTAGTTCCCAGCCAGTCTATGCTGGAAACGGTGGCCGTGAAGGTGCTGGGAGGCTGTAAGCTCATACTGCGTCTGCTAGACTGTTGCTGTAAAGCATTTCTGTATCCTTTTTTCACTATGTAAACATTCTTACAGCTCACCGGCAGCACTTCACGAGGCCAAAGTAAGGTCTGCTGTAGGCTCTGTGTTGCTGGTGGACTCCACTGTGCAATTCATTTGTGCATGTTGAAGATTCTTTGATAGCCAGACATCTTATTTTCAAGTTATTAGGTAGGAACCTCAGGCTGTTGGCTGGCTGCTGTTCCAGCCTTGAGAAACCCAAAGTTTGGATACATATCTCCCAAATTATTCAGGATATTGCCTTGTGAATTGCCTGTAGTTGGTGTGTTCAGCAAGTTTCATTACATACTGTTTATTCTTTAACCTTAACTGGTGTAATCCTCAGCTTGTCTGTTAAACATCTCTGTTCAGAAGAATTCATACTTTTGAACACCGTGGCTTCAGGCTTGTTGAGCCGGCTATGGTTTGTGTATTTGAGTTTGCTGTCTTTTTGACATGCCTGTCAGGGAGAAAGCTTGTGATTAGAGCATTGCTGCTGAGTGAGCTTTATTCAGCTAGGAGGAGAGAGGAAAAAGATCTTATAAATCAGAGATCCCTCCATCCTTTTGGACTCGATTCTAGCACCTGAAGAGTTGTGTGAGTGGAGAGTGCTGTTTTGGAAGGCTTTGTTCTTTGTTCATCCTAAGGATGAACCATAAAGGAATGCTAATAAAAACACAGCATTACTGCTAGCCTGCCATACACTGACATCTGGCACTCTGCAGCAAGCAGTACATCTGCCTCATGCTGACATGGAAAGGCTGTGATAAAGTTGCTCACTAATAATTTTCCTGGAAAATCATTGTTTTGGTCAGAGCAGCACTAAGAAATAACTACTGCCTGTAACTGAGGAAGTAACAGGACTATGCACAAGAGCTTGCTAAAATTGTTTTCCACATAAGAAATCTCTTTTTCCCCAGCAAACACAGAGCATCAGTGCAAGCACAAGTGTCCTGAGTCCACGTGCACTGCTCATTAGAAAGACCTCTTGTGAAATGATTTGTGCATGATGTGAGAGCCTGCACTCTACAAAGCTGTAGGACCAGTCACATCAGTCCTGTGCTGTGGTCATGAATATGCCTGAAAGATGGAAGGTGTTTTGGCAGGAGAGGCTCAGGCTAGTATTAAAGGAAAATGTGATGGAATGTAAAGAGAAGGGCCTCTACTGAATGAGAACAAAGGGAAAGGGCAGTTTGAAATGTGATTTTTTTTAATCAGCTCTTCCCCTTGAGTTCAAGGCAATTGTTCAGTGAGTATAAGCACAAGTTCTTGCTAGGGGAGAGTCTACACCTTTGTCTTCTCCCTTCAGGATTCAATACAGGTGTGTACTGCAGAGCCTCATCTCCCTGTATGGCGTGGTATCAACATCACTTCATCTGGTGTCTGAGACCCAGCAGATGCCTTACATCAAGGGATTTACCTTCCCTTCTGATATCAGTAGCTTTCTTGGAGTTAACCTTTCTTCTGAGGTGAAGAAACAAAAAGCTAAAATGCTTACAGCAAAAAGACCTACCAGCTGGCTGAAGAAGCTCTTCCCAACCACGTCAGAAGCAGTGTCAAAGGTTGGGAAAAAGAGAGGTTTTGTGACCCCTGCAAGTGCTGTGAAAAACCACAGCATCCCTGCGGATGACATTGGAGAACCCGTTCTGACAACCAGAGACAGCAGAGGTAAAGTCTTTTGCCACAGCGCTACTGGTTTGTGAGATCTGAGACTGGCTACAGCTTTGTCTAACAGAGCCAAGCACTTTTACTACCCAGAGTGTGGTTCTGGTACTAACTCTCCTCTCTTGTCCTTGGAAGAGGATGAGAATGCTGCATGTACCCTTGATTTTATAAAGCTGTAGATAATGTCAGTACTGGGGAAGAAGGAGAATTGTTTTTAAACAACACAGCAAAGAGAGAAGCAGGCAATGAATGCTGTGTACAGGTCCTGTATTTTCTTGCTTCTGTATAATTGGGGCCCAAGAATGGCAAGGGATGCAAAGTCCACACGAGTAAGTAACATAATATAGGGGGCACGTAGCCCAGAACTAGCAATCGTCTCTTGCAGTCAGGCCTATGGTTGGCAGTGACAGTCAGGCATCTGGATATGTGCATGAAGCTTTTATACATGCAAGCTCACCCTTACAGCCATCTGTAAATCTGCATCTTCTTCATCCCTTGCTAGTTACCATGCAGGATGATGAAACGCTTGTAAGTGCTGGGTATAGGCATGAGGCTGCTGAGACAGTGGAGAGCTGAGAGCTCAGCAGGGCAAAGCATTACAGTGTCTTTGTGCAAGGTCCTAAAACTCTTTGCTTAATGGGAACTCTTCTCTTTCTATAGGGAACCACCTGCGGTTTGATGTGAAGAGTTTGCTTAGACCATCCAGACCTCCAGTACAAAGGGTTTGTATGCCACCATTTTACAGGAGTTTGCTTTTCTGTTGGCTTTTTTTTTTTTAAATTTGCTCTAAAGAGCCTAGCACTTGATACCTGTATGATGGAAGATGTCCCCTTTCCTTGCCTTATGTTACTCATCTAACAGGTCATTCTGTTATGAAAGCACTTGTTAGTTTGTCAAATGAAGTGACCAGAGAGGAAGTCAGTAGACAAGAATAGAAATGCTCATTGTGTGTCTCTCCTTAAGAAATGCAAAACACAGTGCTTTGCTCCACTCCAGCAGAGGATCAGACACCTCATGTTTTTAGAAACCCAACTATTTTTGTTTGTTTCAGGGTAGATGCACGACATCAAAACCTTTTAAAGAAACATCAGTGTCACTTTCCTCTTCTGTGGCAAAATTGCAGCATGCTGGGCCTTTCGTACAGATGTTTCAAACAGCTGCATCTTTTGGTGAGCTGTCAGAGGCACTCAGAAAAGCTATTCTGTGGTGCAAAGGCAATAAACTCAAATCAGCAGCTTATTTTCTGCGCAGCAAGTTGTTGAAAAGCAATCGGCTGCACCACGTGGAGGCGCAAGGATGCAGGTATTTTTCCTGAGTCTGGGGGTTCTGGATCTGACTTTCTATAGTTTAACTTCACATGTTTTGCTACAAGGCAGAGAAATACTGTGGTCTAACCTATTTTTTTGAGCTTGAGCACGATCACACCTTCAGGTCACTAGAACTGCTGATATGAATACTCTGTTTAGCTTCACTTGTGAGAGGATTTAAAAAGTTACTAAGTGCATGAATACGTAATAAAGAGGGGGGATGAAAATGCAGCTTAGATTATGTGCATGTATAATGATGCTAGATGATGTAAAGGGCATCAGATTTCTTGAGAATGCTATGGCTACCACTGTATAAGATGCTGTTTCATTTCCTGGGTATGACAAATGAAATGGTAAGAGAATGCCCGTATCTATATCTCTGAAAAGACCAGAAGTAACAGTAACAGCTGTTAAAGTTATCTTTTGTACATCTGCCTTTCTCTTAAGCTTGCAGAAGAAACTGTGCTGTGTCAAAACAACGCTCTGTAAATACCTCCTGCGGGGCTCACAGAACACACGCTGGCCAAGGCAGTACCATGGGGCATGGTTCTTTCAAAGGAGGGCAAAATTCTCCAAGTGCTCAAAGAGAATTCTGAAGACTGTTCAGCAAAAACATTCTGAGCTTTTTGGGGACCATGTGAGCAGTGTTTCACCCATCGTGAGGCCTTCAAGTTGGAAAGGATGTCCCATCATTCATACAGCCTCTGTGAAACAAAGTACAGCAGGGACTCCTGAACAGCTGCTGTTAAAAGAAAGCCCCAAGTCTGTGCACGGAGATTCTGAGAATGTGGATATTGATTCTATTTTTGCAGTAATGGGTGTCTGATTCTGGACTAGGAAGAAGAAACATGTCTCGTTTTTCTAAGTAGAACTCGGAATGCCTCTTAAGTGTCTTGGTACCTCATACACCAAGTTCTGCTAACAAAGGAATAACTATCTTATTTTTTTTTTAAGTTTTTTTTTTTTTTCCTTTTTTATGGAACAGTGTTAAAAACAGATAAGCAATCTTTATCCTTTTACCCAGCCTTGTCCAGGGACTGCAGCTTTGAGTTACTTCCTACTCAGTGCCTTTTCCCTTTTGCTGGGACCACCTGTTATTCGTGCTGTGCATTCAACAGCACTTAATTACCACCCAAGGCAGAAAGCTGCAGCTGATCACTTGCTGCTGCTCAGGCCTAAAGATCTGCCCCTTCTCCATAAAGTGTTATAACTCCTCTCTTGCTGTTTGTACAGACAACAGCCTTGACTTGCAGTGTTTTCACCGTTCTATACTTGTTATCCTTGTCCTGAAAAGAAGTTAACCAAATCCTGCTGCTTTGGAAATAGGGCAAAGCACAGCCAGAGCCTGCAAGAGTAAACCTACCTTTGAACAAGTCCTCCAGTGTCCTGAAGTCTTTTCAGTATGCAATTTTTGCCTGCTTGGCAAAGCAAAGTGTAGCTATTCCAGCACATATTTATTGCTTGCTCTAACACCATTTCACATGCTTAGTGCTTTCCATCAGGCTCTTAATTACCTGGTGATCCTGATCTTGGGGTTATTTATTTGAAAAACTTCTCTGAATGAAGTCAAACCAGCTTTATAGCTGAGCATCTGCCCAACAGGGGTAAGGAAGGGGTCTAAGAGCAAGTAAATCTGGAACAGGTTAATTTCAGTTCTCTAAACATACGGTAGAGAACAGCAGAGCTATGTCTACTAGGACAGAAACTGCACTTCAGAGCCCATGAAATGCTAGAAGAGCTCATACTTTTTTATGTGCCCTGTCTTAACTGGTCAATATAAGTTCAGTCTCTGAAGAGTGGGCACAGACTTGAGCTGTTTTATTCAAGGATTATATACAGAGCAGAATTTTGAATAGTTTGGGCTTGAAAACTTCATTCGTCCAGTTAACCAAGATCTATTTTCCAGGTTTCTTGTCAACAGAATACCTAGCAATAACCAAAGTAAAGAAGAACTTGTCACGGGCCTTCTAGATGCCAGATTCAACAGTCCCACAGCAAACAGACTTCTCACCTTTAAAGAATCCTTAGAGCTCATTTCTCAAATTCACAGAATGGTATAAAAACACGTTAGGAATAACACGTGCAATCAGGTAACACCTGGCTGCTTTGAATGCCTACCACAAGAGGTTGAGAGGCAGGGCAGATATCCCAGCAGCAATGATCTCCACCTCAAATAAACCCCTGAAAGCAACACACGTGACATTTCTTCTTCTTACAGGAGCCCACAGCATGCCCCCGTGAAGCCTGTACGCAGCATCAAGATCCATAATTTGCTTCATCAAAGGCCTTTCTGGCACGTTTCAGTTCTTCATTCATAGTCAGAAGGTCTTTAACTCTGGCAAACTTCCGGGGGTCCTTCCGGATTAGGAAGACAATGTCCTCAACCTGTACACGGCCCTGCCGTCCAATTGACATGGCCTTATGTGTCTGCAAGAGAGAAAAATCAGTGTTCCTCTACCCCTTTTAGTTTTTTTCTGATCTCAATCCCACTGTATTCCCTGTCATTTTTAACAGTCTAGAAGCAGCAAGTGCAGGATGTGGGCATTGCCATCCAAGTCCCAGAAGAACTTACAAGTGCAGTACCTCATATGCGTTGAGTACCACTCTACAGGAATGCCTTTGGAACTGAAGCCGGACTGGGGAGAACACACGCAGCGGACAACCTTTCAAAACTGAGCCATTTGTCAGCAGAACACATAGTGATGCCACAGGGTGCCTCAAAGTCAGCTGTAGATTTTTTCCTCTGCTACTTAAAGGCTCCAAACTCTGCCCTAAATCCATGTGCAATAAAGTGCATTAATTTTGTCTTAATATTCAAAGAGCAACATCTGAGTTTAGATTTCTTCCTAGCTGGAACTGAGTTTTTGCCTGGAATACTGCTGTCATTAAAGCAGAGGGAGCCAAAGCAGGCTCCCTAGATCAGGTTGCACAGGTAGGAGTCCGGGTGGGTCCTGAACATCTGCTGACAAGGAGACTCCACAACCCCTGTGGGCAGCCTGTTCCAGTGCTCCGTCACCCTCACTGTGAAGAAGTACTGTGCACATTTGTGCAGAAGCTCCTATACTCCAGTTTGTGGCCATTTCCCTTTGTCATATTGCCACACACCACTGAAAGTAGTCCAACCTTGTCTCTTTTCCTCCCGCACCTTAGATATTTATAGACATTGATCAGATCCCCTCTCAGTCTTCTTTTCCAAAGCTGAACAGAGCCGCCTTCAGTACACCGCCTCTGGCTGACTTACCATTTCTGTGATAAATTCTATCACCAGGTCCTCAAGAATGTCCACAGATTCTGTGTAAGGGTTCTGGTCATCCCCGAATCCGTACATCATGCATCTTACTGCAGGAAGATACACAGCGTGAGGCCTCTGTCTGCTCAGCACATCAGCAACGCTCCCATCCCGAGCTCCAGCCCAGTCACCACAGCAGGACGGTACCCACTCCCGGCAGGCAGGAGTGCAGGGAACACGTAGGCAGAAGCCAACAAAATCCCAGCAGCGCGCACGGAACGGGATGTCAGACAGCAGCATGCTGGGCCGGCCCCACACCAAACGCTTTACCGGCCACGGGGCAGCTGGCACGGCGGGTAACACACCGCCCCGGCAGCCCCCGCCTGGACTCACGTTCTTTAGAAAAGAGCCTCTTCCTCTTGCCCTGCCCGCCGTCCAGTCCGCCGCCGGCTTCCTCGGAGTCCTCCTCGAACTGGAGGGGCACAGCGGAGGAAGGAGGCCGTTAGACGGGGAGCCCCCTCCCGCCCTACGGGTAGACGCGTGGCCGCTCGCCCCACGCAAACAACCCGCAACCCCCGCCGCTCACCGGCGCATCCTCCTCCTCGTCAGCCATGGCCGCCACAGTCCGCCACCGCTTCCGGCCGAGGACGGAAGACCTTCCGGTTGCTCCGTCCCGCCTCCCACGGGGGCTGCCATCTTGTTGTGCCGAACTATTCTGTTAGAGCGCTTTCTTCTCCTGCCCTGACCAGTTCTTGCACTTGAAGACCTGCCGGCTTCCCTGAGTGTCTTTGCCCTTCAGAAACGCTTTCCATGGGATCCCGCGTAGAGTTTTCTCAGTATGTTTATATCACAGATTCTACGTCCAGGATCTGCTATGCTCCTGACGCTCAAGATCCTTGCTGAATGGTCTGTAGCACTCGTATCGCAGTGCTACTCTTACTGGCCTCTCTTCCTTTCTCCCAAAGCTTGCAAAGAATGCACGTTTATCTCTGCAGGAAGTGATTAGGAGACTGCTAATACAGCATCTGCCTCTGGTTAGCAGTTGATTTGTGACTCTCAGGTCACAAGCTGACAGTTCCTGTACACTTGTATCATAATGAGTATAAATCTAGGGAATCTGCAGATAAGAAAAGCAATGGATATGCTAAATCAAATCTCAAAATCAATTTTAGTCTCTGACGTTCATTTTAGGAAAAATAGTATTGGAGTATCAGTGGAGCTTTCTTGCAGGTAGCAAGGCACTGAAAGAGCGCAGGTCACTTTGTGACAAGGTTTTCTGGAAAAAGGATCTTAAATGCTCCAAATTCCTTTTCAGCATGTCAGTGACTTGGGCAAGAAGGCACAAGCTTTTGCTTGTGCATAGGTCTGTCCAGAAAAGCTGAAGATGAAATTTGACAATATAAGGCAAGTGCTACAGTTACGGTACCTAGTTCCATACCCTGTCAGGAGGATGCTCTGCAGAGATCCACTGCTGTTTCTTTTTGACTCAGTTTTTCAGCATGATTTTGGGTAAATTCCTCCTCCTACGTACATGGATCATGGCAGATTACTTGAATTTCACAACTTGAATTTCAGCACTGAACAATGTGAGTTCTTGTGGAGAATGTCATTTTAAAACATCTTTAGGACTTTTCCTAAATGATGGAGTACTGCGTGGAACATTACCACTGTTTTATTAAGCAGTGTGACATACACAAAGTGTCTTTAGGTATCCTGTTTGCTAGGCATTTATGCTTGGAGATACCTTTCAGGCAATCTGTTGCGCTTAATAGAGCAGTTACAGTTTAGGGAAGAGTAATGGCTGCTGGTTTGTATCATGGGGAATGATACCTTGGTAACTTAAGCTATTCAGAAGATTTTTCTTTAGGAAGCTGAAGAAGAGGAAGAAAAAGATGCAGTTGAAGTGATGACACTGGAGAAACAAAACCAGTAGACAGTAGAGTCAAGAAGATGGAACACAGAGGGATCTCAAGAAGTAAATTCAAAGGAAGTGAATACACTGCTTTGAGGTGTCTGAGATTAAACAGCCTTCCCCAAGGCAGTCTATGGCTGCTGCCATCTGGAGATACCACTTGCCTGAGGGCAGCAGTCCAGCAGTACTGTGGACACAGGAACCACTGGGGAACAGCATCAGCACAAATAGCCACATGGTGCACAAATGATACAGTGGATTATTAGAATACAAAAACATCATCTTCCCTATTAAACTAAATAGTTGATGGCGGTTCAATAATTACCTTATTGAGCACAACAGTTTCCTATGCTTATGTAAGATTTGAGTAGCTATATCTGAAGTAGTTAAAAATCAAGTATTTAACAAATGCTTGAACAGCGTTAAATTAGTATTAAAATGGAACAGTGCATACAGGCTTAACATTTTGGCTAATTCAGTAAGAGATACAGTAGTTAGCAAACCCAGTATTAAAAATCACTTGTGCACGTAAGGGAAGGACGTAAGTTGATACAGCTGGCTGTAAATTGATGAGATGGCAATAAAACAGATGTTACATGGAATGGTTTCAGGATCTCTCCTTCAGTTTGCTGCCAGGCCCACCACTTATCAGCGAGTGAACGAAAGAGAGAACTTCTGTGTCCACAGCCTCAGAAAATGCAATTCTTCATTCAGCAACACAGCACACTCCTAAGAACTTGGCAAGAAAGTCTACTTGCCAGTGTGTCACAACTGTTTAGCCAAAGCATGCACTAAAATGCTTGAACACGTAAAGCCTGCTTAATTTAACTTGATTTTATTTACTGTCACAGAGGCATCAATTCTTGCACACAACAAACTGAGGCCTTGAAGATTATAGCTTCTTTGACTACAATGATGCCTTTGAAAGACACTGGTTTTAAGATACTAACACATGCTTATTCCTGAAATGTTGACATGCACGTCAACATCTCTCTAGATCCTATTGTATTTATTTCTAGAATCAAACACCCACAGGCCAGTTTTCTTTGGAGCATTTTGGGATTATAAACAAAACAGCAGAGTTTTACAGGCTTGATCTCTGCTTACATGTAGAAACTGGAGATCCACATCTCTCTACAGTATTCCTCACCTTTCCACTTCCTACATATCTGCTGGAAACAAACTCTGCTTCAAGTCTAATCTGAGAGTTACAAGAAATTCCTTAATGTAGCAAACAGTAGAAATACCACCTTCAAGCCTCAGAGTAGTTTATGAAAGAATTACCTTGAGATTTAAACACTTAATGTAAGTTAGCTTGAACAACTGCATACACAGAATTGGCAGTCTTAAGACAGGATGAGTCCCAGGGCATGACACAGGCACTTACTAGCTTTGGTCTAAATTCCTGTGCACAACTACTGCTATTTAATGGCAGTTCTTTTTGTAGATTCTGTACAAGCTCTGGTTTCCCCCACATTGTACTCTTAGGTACAGCGGTTGTGGGACCTCAGTATTGTGCTTCAACTCCCAGCACAGGACAGATGCAGGTAACAGACCCATCTCTGATAACTCAGCTGAGGGCAGCTGCAGAACTTCAAGTGGGATTTAAAACAGAAGGTAGATGCAGCACCGAGTGATGATAAAGTGCAGGAGGAGAGAGTTCCGCTAGGTGTTGTTCATTTATCACCACTGTTTCAAGCCAACCAGAAGGCAGATCCCATAAAGTAGGTTTCCTTTCCTGCATCCACCAGGAACAAGGACAACTGGACGTACACAAGCGAGGCATGCTATCGTGCTGAACCTATGGAATGCACAATGCAGAGGAGTTACAAAGGTGCAAAAACACAAGAAGTTTCCAAAAAGCCTTTTGCAAACAAAGCATTGACTGTTTTCACTCTGGATAGCCTTAGAGCAGGCAGGGTGCCCATGTGCTAGTTTAAACTTCTAGATGTCATTCAGCTCAACAAGGCAAGTTTAGTTCACCTAACATACAGCCGTGTTTTTTTCATTTCTAAACTAAATGCTTTTTTATTAATGAGATTACTGGGCTATCTGTAGTATTCTAAATACAGCAGAGCTTAAGTAGGTGCAGTGAATTTTTGAATGTTTACCTGAAGGGAGATGGAGTCCTTTATTAAAACCTGGCTTCTCTGGAGGTCTCTGATTATTTATTTTTCCTCCACTGACACAAATACATAAGTTTTGTGTAGTACCCAGGATCCATTCACAGTGCAGATGTCTTGAATTAATGAATTTATTAAACAAAAAGCTTACCTTTAAAAACATTACCTTAGACAAAAATTTATACAAGCTTATCCAAAAATAATTTTGGTGCTTCAGATTCTTACAACAAAATTCCAGACCTCTAGTTTTGGCACCTTTTGTTCCAGATGAGCTGAGCAGACCAGGAGCCAGACTTTTCAGCTGGCCTCTACAGTAGGCAGGTTTCCAGTAACATGGGCTACGAAACACCTTAGCAAGTGGACTCCTGAAAACTCCACAGAACTGTGGAAACAAAGGGATGTTCAGTGCCTGATGCTGCGTATCTAGGAGCAAGACAAGCAAATTCAACCACTGGCTGCATTAAATTAAATTTATCCCCACAGTGCAATACAACATTAATAGAGTAAGCACTTCTAATGTAATCAATTATAGCTTGTTACTGCTAGC